ATTAAGATTGGAAATCAAATATCACTTTTGGAATAAAAGGGAGAGCAAAATGCTGTTTTCAGAACAACAGTTTTAAGAACACTCATTATTGTTCTGTCTTCCTCAAAGTCAATAACAAAACTGTCATCCTTTTCAGTGAGAGGAAAACTAGGCTGGTACCAGGCGTTTCCAGAGATCTAACTTTTATATGTTGTTTTAAGAAACCTTGAGGCGGAAATTGAAGATTTGCACAGACGGACAAAACAAAGAAACCCTCTCTTCCTGTGTTTTGGGAAACAGGCCAAACACAATGAAGGTACTTGGATAACCTTTACTCTCTCAGTGCAGTGCTGACAGCTTCTCACATCCCATTTAACTGATCCTTTGGACCATGTTTTGGATAGCAATTCTGCAATGAATGAGTTTACAAAGCCTCAAATGAATTTTTGTAAGATTGCAGATTAATTCTAAAATTGGAACAGTCACTGTAGTTTTTGTGTGCTATATGCAAGAATTTGTACAAAATATATATTGTTTTCAGTGTTCTTTACTACCCACTTCATAAAGTGATTTAATCTGTGTACCCTGAGGAGTGTGTGCAAACTACAGAGGTACAGTGCAAAACCTTTTGTGGTATGATCTTGTTAAAATCATGGGGTAGATAGTCCAAAAATTAAAAAATAACTGGAAGGTGAACCCTCTCAACAGACCGTTTCAGAAGCTGGCAAGCCCCTCCTGTAGGGACATTATGTAAGATGTTCCTCTTTGATAGTTCTTGATTTCAAATGATACAAGAATGAATGAAAGATACCTTCTTTTAAATTTGGTAGAAGTTTCCCAACAGATGCAGAAGTTGTTAGGGACAACAAAGAATAATTGCACGAGCTTTGTTTCTTTAGGAGAACCACTTAAAAACAGGTGAAGTTCAGCTTTAACAAGGTAGCAGTGTGTGTTTTGCTCATGGCATGTTTTTTCTAAGAAGGATATTGTAATACTTTAAGAATGTTACTCTAGTTCTGTTTTGTGTTGTGGAAGTATATTGCATCTGTTTGTTTGTGGAAACTTACTCCACCACAATTCTTCCCCCCGCTTTTTTTCCCCCCGAGAATTCCTTTAAATTCTTTACCGTTTTTAGAAATAGTTAAAATTGGCTTCACTTGTGCATTTACTATCTTCCTGGACTAGAATGTGTGTTGAGCTAGTAATTCTTTGGATTACACAGAGATCTAATTGTTCATGCAACCAGACTTTTTAATCATGACACTCATTTGAAATGACTATATTAAAACACACACTGTATATAGCCTGATGCCAGAGGCAAGCTTGTGCTCACGTTGCAGTGTGAGGTGATTAATACAAAAATTATTTATGTGTAATTGTATATACAAAGTATCTTCTCTTTGCTCATATTGATGCATATTCTTCTGTGCTCTTAAACTAGTTAAAATACTTATCTGCTGATAGACTAGAAGCTAAATGAGGAAATCTGGTGGATATGAAATTAGTTTGCCTCAGAAATTGTCAACAAAGAGCTATTCTTTCACTAGTCCGTGTATATCAATTGGCTTGCAAAACAGCATTATTTTTTTTTAGTTTCTTGGTTGTTTTTCAAAATGTTGAGTAGTTCTGCTGTGAAATATGAGATTTTAAGTAGGCATTGATTGTTCCACTTTGAGTAAATGTAAATAATATTATTGGGTTTCCCAGCAATTAAGATTTCATAGGCATGTGAACAATAATTCAGTAATGATCAGATAAATGCGAATACCTTTTTTTTTTAAAAAAAAAATAAATGAGGTAATAAGAATATGGATTGCATACTCCCACCTCCTATACTGGAAATTATACTGTTGACTTCAGAGGATTTTGCCCATTTTATATGTAACTATTGTTTAAAGTACATGGAAAGAGGATTGGTAGCTATGTATGCAGCCCTTTCATTCTCCACTTAAGTATTAATATTTGTGTCGTGAGTACAAGGGCCTGGACATACATTTGGAGGGAAGATAGTAACTACACGGACATTCTTCTAAGCCTTTAATATAGCACATACAGCAGCATCTCAGAGGAATCCAGACGCTTTTTATGCATGCATTAGCTTTGCTGAACCTTACTCTACAGAGCTTTTTGATTTACCAATATTCCGGCTACTGTGGTAGCAGCTGATAATTGCTGTAATGAGCTATTAGTAGGAAGCGTGGTAATAGTGACAGGTTTGAAACCAGGTGATTGAAAGGGCAGTTGGATGGTCATTTATCTGGTCTCCACATATGGTAAACAATCTCTGTTAACCCCCAGAATAACTCTTGGGCAGCTGCTGCTCTTTCAGCTGTTCATCTGGCTGCTAGAAGAGAAGCCCTGGGATTTTCAGGGAGTGTTGCTATATCCTGCAGCACCACTTACCTCCTGCTTAGGCTAAACACCCTGTATGTCAATTCTGTCTCTGTATTTACTTGCCCCAGAGTTGACCATGGTGTAGAACAGGTTAAAATCAATTATCTTTAATTAGGACAAGGTGAGAAAAGGACAAGCACAGGAGTGATCTGAAGATGGCTGCTGTTTTACACCCCTCTCCTCCTTCTGTTAGCAGTGGAGTGGTATCACTTGATTCAGGAAAGTTGGTCTTTTTTCCTCTCCTATTCTAGATATTATCCTTTTGAAGGAGGACATATGCCGCATCCATCCCTGCCCCCCGAAAAATCCAAACCAAACCCCAAAAAACTGACCAAACCCAACAGAACAAAACCAACCAACCAACAAAACCCCAAAAAACTCATTTAGGAGTGTCCTGTGATTAGAATGTGAGAAAGTATTGTTCTGTTATGAACAAAAATAGCTGTATTAAAAGTTATGATGGTTAATATGTTTCCATGTATACGTTATGAATGTTTATATTTATTTTTAAAAGTTTTTGTAGAAATAACTGTAAACAGGTAAGTCACAGTCCTTGAATGGACTTCGTGTCTTGCAAAGAATTATATCAGTATGAATCCATGTTTTCTGACTGGAAGAAAAATTCATGAAAAACAAACCTGAAAAAAGGGTTTCCATTTTCCCACCTCTGGCAGTTGTGCTCTACTTACATCACTGCGATTGAGACCTTGTGGAAACCTGTGCCAAGCAAGCTGGGGTTTTCAGGCTTTGCAGACTGAATACTTATGTAAATGTCTTTACAGAATAATCACTGATAGCTTGTATCCTGTTTGATCTTCTCTTTAGACAGGGAGCCAACTGCAGAGATTATTCATGTAGATAGGTTCTTGACCATAATTGGGGCCACATGTCAATACTTAGGACACATCATTTATATTCAATTTGATCTTGGAGAGGACATGATACTTCACTTTCTTGAAAACTGAAACAAATACATCTCATGAACTCTAGGTGGATTATAGGTATGCTGATAATCTGGTCAAGGCATTTGCAGTTTGTGTCTCAATGGATCAAAACTGTGGGCCCATCCTGGGACTTGGGCCTGCTGTATTGTAGTTTTTTCTTCTAAAATATGTTGCTTCTTAGTATCAGAACTGATAAGACATTGTAGAAAATAAAATTCTGGTACCTGCTGCAATTCCAAGGTTCTGAAGGAAGGACCCAGCTCATTATCATGCTGCCTAACACTAGAGGTATTAAGGTGGGCGTACCTGTTCCTAACTCCAGTTCTAGAATTGGCAACCTTGTTAACAGCAGAGGAAAAAACAGTCTAGTTCCTTATTGAGGTTTGCAATACATATGAAAAAAATTGCTATTTTCAAACTGTGTTACAACATGGTTGTAAAAAAACATCACAGACGTGGGTGGTTTTGAGTTTAGCAATGTCTTTTCCTCCTGACCTTCCCCAAACCTGCCGCCCCCCCCCCTTTTTGTTTGTTTGTTTTTCTTTAACTTGGCTTTACTACTGCAGTGGCAATTACATCAGTGCTAAGAAAGCAGTTTCTCAAGGACTGGTCTCAAATGGTAGTTGATGCTGGACAGCAGAGCTGTATAGAGCCAGATCTAGTATATTTGCAGCTTGTTTTGATGATCAGTGGGGAGTTCTACTCTCCTTTCAGAGCTGATGAAAAGGGCTGCATTGACAATAGGTAATACTAAGCCTTTTATTTTAGGCAGGAGATGGAGAAAACACAAGCACACTTTTATTTGCAGGTTCAAGGCCAACGCTCTTAACTGTTGACAATGTGTTTGAGGTAGTTGCTTTTTCCACTGAAAGTTTGAACAGTAGTTGGTAGAAATTGCCGCAGGAGACAGATTGGATCAATTTGAAAATGCAAGGTTATGGACCTCTTATGGAAATGAGTCATTTATTAAAATGGTGTGGTATTTCTTCAGGGCAAAGACTAAATACAAACATCTACCACTGTTGTACTGCCTGTGTTCTTGCATGTTGTGATGTTGTCCCCATTCAGCAGATGCCCATAATGCAACAGTGTGCCCAATAGTTTGCGCTTTATGGTACATGCTTCCTGTCTCATCGTGATACACAGAAACAGGGTATTCCTATATTCAAAAGGGTTTGTTTCAAATGCTTTTCTATTCCATTGACCAGGAAGGACAGACAGCTCCATCCATGCCAGAAGTACTTTGTTTAATTTATCATCTTTCCAAGACACATTTTGAAAGGTTGCAACCTTAAATATGGTGCTGTTAAGTAGACTTATGGCTACAACATTTATTACTGCTACTTACAAGAGCAAAGGGATAAAGCACAGCAAACATGCAGTAGAGATGGCCAAGAAGTTCTTCTGACGTATGCTACTGTGGCTGCAGTCGCTGATTTTTGTTAGTGGAACATGCTGCCCAGAATATATAGTCATACAATAGTCAAAATGCTTATGTGAGGTGCTTACACTATTTGAAAGCTTTGTTAGCAATAAAAGAAAAAAAAATCATCTTAACAACTGTTGGAAGCGTGGCCTTCCAGCAGTTACTGAACTGAGCTGGAAATGAGTGAAAAATTTGAGCTAAAATGTGTGTGCAGTTATTAGCCTCTTTAAAATGACAGTGATCTCACTTTAGTAGCCATGGCAGTGTTCTCTGTGTTTGAGGTCTCCACAATGGTTGAACTGTCTGCTGTCCCACACAAAGCAGAAGACAATTTCTCCCAGAAGCTTCCAGTAGCGGAATACACCATCATCTTCTCAGCACGGAGAGCTTGTGCAGAGAAGGAGAAGGGGGATGGCAGGGGTCTTCTGCTGCCTGATGCTGATCCCACTGCTGTTGGTATAAAAGAGACATGGTACGCAAGTTGAAACAGCCACCTGTGTTACCCATTTCACTTTCTATCACTTAAAAGACAATTTGGAATAAATGAAAAATAATGGTCTGGAATTCTGTGATATTAGCTGGGGATGATTTAATGCCCATGATAAACCTAACGCAGCCAGCTTTCTAAAAATACGGATCTTGATAGTTAATCCCATAATGTATGACTGCAATAGATAGTATTAGATGTGAATTTCTGGAATTTCCAAAATTTAAAATTAAGACTCTCGCCAACACAATTTAAAGTCTGCCATTTGAGAGTGTTGCCCTATGACCGTTTTGCGTCAGCATCATACAAATGCTGGACATCACAGTGAGCACTGTGAGACAGTATATATTCTGTTTGCTTGGGCTAGACAGAACTGAAGAGTGAATAAGAAATCCAGGAGCTACATGTGGATGGATTCCATGCAGACATAGTAAACTTAGACTCAGCAAAATTTACCAACACTGAACATTGGGAGATACTGTTGTATAATTTCTATAACATTAAAGAAGTCCACTGTGTGCCACTGTTTTACCGCTGATATGAGGAGTAGCAAAGAGAACAAACACACCAGCCTTTTCCAGTGTATTCTTCCACTGTGCAGTGCAACTTTGTCTATTGCAAGGAAGATGGCTAGAATGGGATCATTATGGCTCTGTTCTGTCAGTGCTTTTCCATTCCCAGACAGCTGAGCTGCCTTTAATAACAATCTCTTATTTGCTGAGAACACAGAAGGCTGACTGAAAAGTCACTGTCAGGGCTCTAGCTAGCTGCAGTGCCTGTGTCATGCTTAGGGTGTCCTTGCTCCTCAGTCTTCGTACTTACGTGGGAGTGCTGGCAGAGGGCTGGAGCCTCTATCAAGCCCCTTTCAGTATCCTACGCCTCCTCTTCAGTTCCTTCTCTATTTTTCCTTATTGCCCTCTCACATGTGTTTCCTTCCACTGCACCACAGGGATCAGATGAATCTAAAAACATTTGACTATGTAAAAAAAAAAAACCCAACACCCTAAAAAAAAAAAAATGTGTATGAGGTTGTTCTCAGCAAATGATCAGGTGGTTATGGTTACAGCTTTTCCAGTGATTGTCTAACCTTTAAAGTCCCTAACTGCTTGCTAGAGTACTTCATTTTCCTTCTAATTTTCATGATGATTTCTCAGTGATGGTTTGAAAAGATTCTTGGATGTTCCATAGAGTTTTAATACTTATGCATGATGCTTTCCAGTAAAGTAAATTTTGATGCAAGGCTTCTAAAAGAAAGCAAGCGGTGGTCAAAGAAGATACACAGACTCAAAGTGATCAAGGACAGGACTTAGGCTCAACATTTCATGTCCATACTTCAGGATTAGTGGCATAGTATTATAGGTGACAGGAATCTTCTGTCATTAAACAATGCAAGTGTTTTGCTTTGCACGGAGCTCTAATTTTCTTGCCTTTTTTTTTTTTTTGTTAATCCTGTTAGGCATGTGACTTTAAGCCTGACCCAGAGCTACAAACTTTATCAGATATCTTACATACCATAGTGTTTTGCTAGAGATTCACTGGGTTCTGTGTGAGATAATGAATAGATAAGTTTAATGCAGATGTTGGAGTTTGGAGTTCATGTTCTAGACACATACAAAAAACGTTATAATCAGATTAGTTTTTAAACAGGTGTGTATGAAGCTACATTTGTCTTGGGAAGCCTCATGCCTGTGGAACTTCAGCTATGGTCCAAAAACCCTATGCTATATATTTAAGATCAAACATCTCAAATGTCTTTGGCTTCACCATGTCAAACTGTTGTGTCAAGGTCTGTGGTGAGCAACGTGTCTGGTTGTGCTGCTACTGGCTGGGATAGAGTTAATTTTCTTCACAGTAGCCAGTATGGGACTATGTTTTGGATTTGTGCTGAAAAAGTGTTGATAATATAGATATGTATGGAATATCCCTTTAGTCAGTTGGGGTCAGCTGTCCCATCTGTGTCTTCTCCCAACTTTCTGTGCACCCTCAGCCCACTTGCTGGTGAGGTGCTGTGAGAAGCAGAAAAGGCCTTGGATCTGTGTAAGTACCATTCAGCAATAGCTAAAACGTCCCTGGGTTATCAACACTGTTTTGAGCACAAATACAAAACACAGCCCCATACCAGCTACTGTGAACAAAATTAACTCTATCTCAGACAAAACCAACACAACGTGGTAGATGTCTTCTGTGAAAATGGAGGGCCCAAGTCAGTTTACTAGAGTTGGCAGAAGGGCTTCAATCCCAGCTAGCAACTGGGCAGTGTGTCTTCTGGCAGTGTTTTTCTGGGCATTGAAAGGTCACCAACCCCATGTGCAGTGTAGTGTCCAAGCTTTTTGTTGCCTTTACTGTATAGAGCCGATTAAAGGACCCACCAGCTGGTTATGTGTGACACGAGGGAAAGGTAAGCTGTTATCCCACAAAAATGCCAAGTACTACCAGAACGTTGGATCACTGAAAAGCAACTTAACATTATGAATGTAGTATTTAAGACTATGAGATATGCAGGTCTGGAAGAGGTATAAAAAAATCTCAAGACAATCTCATTTCCTGGTTGACCTAAGCTAGCTAATTTAGAAACAGAAAGCTGTTGTTGACCCTTTAAAGAACTAGTACTGCACCGTAACATACTTAAATGACCATTTCTCATCCAGTATGTGCTTCCTCTGCCCTGTCTAACATCACTGCTGCTGAGGAGTCTGAAAGGGGCCTGATTTTCAGGGAATATTGAATTCTATTTTATGGAGTGAGGCCTCTCGCTAGGATGTCTCAAGTTAGATGCTCACAAGCAATGATTCAAGAAGTCTTGTCACCTTAGGAACTATATCTCTCTGTTATGGAATGAAATAACAGAAAATATTGAAGGTTAGACATAGGTATCCTTCTTGAGGTATAATGTGTGAAGAAACACATACAATTCCTGCTTACAGAGGATTTATGCAATACCATTAATCACTACACAGTCATTTTCATGGATATTAAAAATCTAACCATTATTTGATGTTAAGACAAAACAAACAAACAGGCTAAAAACCCCGAGTAGTATGAATAGGTAGAAGTTAAAAAAAAAAGGAATAGTATTTGAAATGACTCGGTAAGTGCTATCAGGAGAACTCTGGAATAATCACAGCATAAGAAGCAAACAGAAATTACTTGTATTCACAGGCACTGTTGCTGTGTAATTATCAAAAGGCTGAGTCAAAACTGAGCAAGTCTGTCAAAAATTCAGCATGTGTCAGGAAATACTTCCTAGCTAATAAATAACATGGCAAAAATCTTCCCTGAAGAAATTACCAGCTCCTTTGCATATCCGAATGGTATGTAATGGGAATAAGTGAATACAGAGTCAGCAATTGTGTGAGGAAAGAAGCCACATTACTCCTTTTATTTTGGCTGTGCCTGGGGTCAGAAGTTCCTTTGTTCTTTCTTTACCTCCCATTAGAGCAAACATAGTCTGCTTCTTTTCTCTTAAGGCTCTTTTTTTCCTGTCCCACTTTTTTATTTAAATAAAATAGAAGTGTCTGTCTATATTGCAAAATGTGACTTTGTTGGCTCATTATTATTATTTTCAGCACTTGCATGTTAATGAACATGTTGCCTTATCCTACACTGTAATACTTTTCAAAGGGAAAAACACACTTTAAAGAGGCAGAGTAGTGGAGCCATAATTTATTGAGTTAAAACTTCAAACAGTAATACTTAATGTGCATGCTGTTAAAGTACTAACCATGCATCAAGTATTTACAGTGTATAAGGCTACTTATACAATAACGTGCTTTATTTATCGATGCTTCCGCAGTTTTGTGTACTACTGCTTTGTCAGATATGGAAAATTGACTCCCGTTGTTTTGCCTTTCAGCTTTCAAGCTGTTTGGGGCCAGCATTATTGTTTGCTTAAAACTCGTGGCTGTTACATCAAACTCAGTGGAGAATTCATCCATTTGCTGTAGGTGCTTACAACAGGAAAAAGTTTAATAACATCGAGCGCGTGTGTGATGCTCTGTTTGTAAGCATGGTTCCTTCTGTGGAGAGTATGAACTGGAAGGATGAGCAGAAGTGTTTCTCAAATTGCTGTTAACCAGGGGCTGAACTGTAACAAATCTGCGGCTGCTTCATGGTTGTCACTCTTTCGTTCACCATGACGGTATGGAATTTCACAGTGACAGCAGGGACAGGACTTGGTTCTGCATGCATCACAAATCTCTGCCCATTGCCACTGGAGGAGGGACTTAATTGTTAAGGAGGGACTCAAAGGCAATTAATTACTGCATTAGTAGCAGTAGTAAGAGTAGAGCTGGTGGCTTTTACTGGCACTAGGACATGAACTTGCTTTATGCTTTCCCAGTGGTTCATTTTATAGAAGACAGCAAGAAAAGACTGACGTGACAAGGGTGTTTATACTTGAGTGACACATAGCTCCTTTTTCCTGTTTATGAAGAGATTTCCCTAATTATTAAAATCCCAGCATGTAAGATGCTTGGGGATAGCTATTTGATCTGTGGCATATGTTTTCACATGAGACTATGCAGTAAGCATGCATTTGTGAATGGCATCGTATGGTTCATCATCGCCAGGCATGTTGGCTTGTGCAGCAAGGGGCAGTACTGAGCTCACTGCTGTGAGCTAAGCATCCTATGACATTTTTCAGTGCCCTGGCTTGGGACCACAATTGGTTATAATATTTGTAACTCGTGTAACAAAATTTAATGTAGAAACCTTATAGAAGAGGAAGGTAATTTTCTTTTCACAAAATGTGTTTTTCTTTCTCATATTCACTCTTTCACTGATTTCACACTCTTACTCATACCCAGAAACACCAAGACATGTGGCCAAATGAAGGGGCTAGGATTACTTACAGGGACAGGAAGGGTAAAAGATGCCAGCTATGAAGTCCTCATCATATCTGCCATATTTTTCTTGATTGGTGATCACGTGGTGTTTTTTGGCTGTACCTTTTGTACTCTTTAGGAGTTGATGGTGATTGCAATCTT